AGCATCTTGGTTTACTGTGATCCCGTTTAGCAATTCTGGGAATTAGTTCATGTGTTACTGGAAAGCCGTTCAGAAATTCTTGCCTACACCTTTATCTTGAAATATTTTACCTGTAAGCTTTCTCATCCTATACTAAAGTCTTTGATCCGTCGTAAATGATTTTCAAGCAGAAGAAGTAGTCTGGGTTTGTTCTTCTACACATGCAAATCTAGTTTTTTAAAAGGCTGTCTTTCCTCAAATGTCTGATTGTTATACCTTTGCCAAAAGTCAGGTTGTTATAACCTTGTGGACTTACTTCTGGGTCCTCTGTTCTATTCTATGGGACGTGTAAAGCTTATTTTGTTGGTATATAGTTAGAGATTGGGTATTGGGACAGTATCGCTCTTCTACTAAGGACTATGTTAGCCATTAAGGCCTTCGGCATTTGCATATGACCCCTTCGATTGTCTTTTCTTCTTCTGTGGAGATTGTCACTGGAAGATTGATAGGATTCGCACTGACTGTAAACCACCTTAATAGAGCCATTTTCACAACATTAAATATGTTATTCCTGAGTATGTTACTTCCAGTTGCTTTTCGGTTTCTTTCTCCCAGGCCTTAAGCACTTCCCTGTGGAGGGTTTGTTCGCATGTTAAGTTAAATTTATTCCTAGGTGTTTTGCTTCTTGTGAGTGTGATTTAGAGAAACAGTTCTAGCATAGCACAGCTCTAGATTCTGCATAGAACAGTAACATGGCTGCAGACTTCATCACTGTGACATAGGCCTGAGAGAAACATTTTCAATGAGAAAAATTTTGCTTTGGCTCACAGTTTACAGGGATTCCAGTCCGTAGTTAGAATCCTTCTCTGATAGATACCTGTGGTTGGTTGGAACATCATGCTGTAGGACCATGTGGAAAATAAAATGTGTTCAGATCATCCTCATTGTGGAGGACAGAGATCATTTGGCTAATGTATCTTTCCATTTGGCTAATGTATCTTTCCAGGGCACACTTCCAGTGACCCACTTTCTTCTCTAGACCTGGCCATCATACTATGATTCTACCAAGGGTATTCACTGATTAGGCCAGAAAGTTGTGCTGTTTGGACTTTTTATTGGTTAGGGGTTTATTGTTGTTGTTGTTGGTTGGTGGTGGTGGTGGTGGGTGTTTTGTTTTGTTTGTTTTGTTTGTTTTGTTTCTGAGACAGGGTCTCCCTCTGTTGCCAGTGTTGGCCCAGAACTCGCACTGATCCTACCCTGTAGTAGCCTGGCCTCACTTTAGTGGCAGCCCTCATTCCTCTCCTTCCTGGGATCCAGGACTGCAGGTGTGAGCTGTCACACCCAGCAAGGTTATAGAGGATCTGTTTGATCTTGGTTACCATGTCATGCAGCACTGCTTCTGCATTAGGTTACCACATTTTGGCATCGGTGACTCTATGGCTAGGTGGCATTTGTAAAATATTTCAACAGCATTGGTAGCAGTCTCAGGATTCAATCCCTTCCCCTTCCGCTGGCAACTGAACTCCCAGCTCATGAGCCTTCAGGGGATATCTCAGATTAAAACCATAACAGTAAGCTGCAGTAGTGACTTGTCATCATGGCTTTAAGAATCCTATACCAGCCTCACGGGAAATCACAGCCAGTAGCAACAATATCTTGTGATGTGTTTTGTTATGTCGTCATACTGTGAATTTCCAGATTTGGAGATCTGCCCACAGTTGGCATTACAGAATATAATAGAATGATTTGAATACCCATAAATCTTAATGCTCTGCCCTGAACTGGCCAATTCAAATTAAAGAAAATTTGGAAGCTATAAAAGCTTAGGGAGAAAGAAAGAAAATGCCGAAATGCCATGTCAGCCCCATGACAAATACCACAATCTATGAAAGATGAAAATAATGTCTTGGAAGGAAGGAAATCAATTTGGATTCAGTTTCCCAATATTACTTTTTTAAATGGTGCCTTTGCTTGATGACCTAGGTCAATCTAACATTGAGAACAATCTCTTGCTTGGGAGACTTGGGGAGACCAAGGGTAGAGTAGAAGAGAACTAACAAGCAGTAGGTGCTTGTACTGTGTTAGGTATCATTCAGCAATACAGAAGAGAAAGGAGTGGTACCCATCTCAGCAATAACTGCACACAAAGTTCTAAGCACAGATAAATATCTTTAGAAGTGGGTGTCTTCGCATATATAATTGTATATGGCTGAAAACAAATTAGCAATAATGTCTTGTCTCGCCACTACCCTTAAACTAAACGCCGCTGAAATGATTCCAGACAAATGTCTGGGTTATTTCTGAAGATCCCCAGGGAAGCAGATATGACAGGCTCTTGGTATTTTTAAATGGTAATGCTGTCAGTGAGTTCTTAGAACTTCAGATACACTCAGCTCCACCATTCAGCAACTGCGTGACCTCGGGCAAGTATTTTCATGCTTCTAAGCTTCAGTTCGCATTTCTGTAAAACTGGAGTTAACATACTGTTTGCCACATAGAATTGTAGAGAGAATAGAGTGATGTATGCTAGGGACTGAGGTACACAGCACTTGGACCCTAATGGACACTGTAGATGTTAGATGTTGTGACTCCAGGCAACAAAATAAAATGTCTGCTCCAAGGACTCATTAAAGTGTTTCTGTGTTCTGTGAGAGTTATCTACCAAGGAGCCACTGTTAGTCACTGCTCAAAACACTACACCAGCACCATCTAGGGTGTGCAGGTGTCTCTGGGGATATTGTTTTCCATGGTTGTAGTCACTGTGCATCTTATGTGTTGGTTCAACTATCAAAGTAGGTCACTGAAGAAATTAAATAGAATTAAAACAAAACCAGCCAGGAACAGAGTAGCCTACAGAATGACGGATAGTAAAATATGATGTCATACATCACTTCCAAACACAGCAATATCCCTTTCATTAAAGTATAATGTGTTTGGTCTTGGGTCCCTAAGGTTCTCATTTTATTTGTTGGTTGGTTGGTGGCTACCCTCTTCTTCTATCCTGCTCCTTCTACACTAAAACATCACGTTTTACCATTAGTAGCATTTTTAAAATATTTTTGACATTAAAATATAATTATTACTTACCCTTCCATTTCTGCCCTCCAACCTTTTTCATGCATCCTCCCTTGCTCTGTCTCAAATTCGTGCCCTCTATTTCTTTTACATTCAGACACACACACACACACACACACACACTGAGATACACAGCACCTGGGTCATAATGGACACTGTAGATGTTAGATGTTGTGTGTGTGTTCGTAAATATATAAATATAACCTCAGTTCATGTAAAGTAACTTGTATGTTTATGATGTCAGGGGTGAATACTGCTGGTTGTTAGTTCATTGGGGATTCTTCCCTGGGGAAAACTATTTCTCTTGCTCTCAGTATCCCTTAGTTACCTGTACTTCTTCTCTAGGGTTGAGAACCCATCAGATTTACTCCTTTTGTATTAGCAAGTCTATTGGCACCACTCCTGTTCAGGTAAAGTTTAAGCATGTGAATAAGACTTCACGGATGTAGTTTCTCTGAGATTTCTAAGCAACAACATCTCACAGACTGTTCCTCTGGCTCTTATAATCTTCCTGTCCCCTCTTCTGCTGTGATTCCTGAGCCTCAGGCACAGGAGATGTGTGACAGATGTATCAACCGGGACTGGGCACCCCAGAGTCACTTGTTGTCTGTATTTTGATTGGTTGTGTTTCTCTGTAATATCTCCATCTATTGCAAAGACTCGTTTCTTTGATGAGGGGTGAGGCCTGTACCTCTCTGTGGGTATATGGATAACTATTTAGGATGAAGTTAAGAATTATGTGGCTTGGTAAAGTGACAGTAATGGGTTCTCTACCACGATCTGTGATTTCGCTAACTCCGGATAGTTGACTGGATTTTCCAGTACCAAGCATGACTGCACTCCTGTTGTATGGGTCTTCAGTCCAATTGTAAAACCCTTGGTCACCACTGCTGTATGTGCACCATATTGCACTCCTGAACTTATCACACTGTGCCATTCATTGTTTTGGTTATGAACATCATAACAAAGTAGGATTATTGGTTGCTTCCCTCCCTATGAAACTTGCATAGTACCTTCTGTTACCACTGTTACCATGGAAACTAGTCCTCAGGGAGGAGGCTTTCAGGTCAGAAAGAGCTCAATCATCTCGGTCATGTGTCCAAACTACATGTCATCTTCAAGCTCTGAGAGGCAACCAAGTGTAGCAGCAACAGCCTAGGTTGGAGGAGTCTCTTGGACAACCCTGAGCAACAATTCAAAATGAGGTTTCTTATGCCTGGTGTTTGGACTTTTGTAGATAGTCTATGGATCTTGCGGGAAGCATTGTCAGCCCAGATGAGAATTTTTCATTTAAACTGTATATTCATCTACATATTCATATGTGTCAGATGTAATTTTAGGTAGATAATAACACTTCCTTATGACCTTTTTCAGACATCCTTATTATTATTTTACCCTATTCTTCCTTTTCTGTATTAAATCTCCCTCCTTTCTAATTAAAGTCCCCCATTTTTCTACCTTCTCCTTAAATTACTTGTACCCTGCTGATCTCCCTTCTACTTCTCCCCCAACCCCCTTCTCTGACAGTAGTCCCTTTTGATTTTCCTGGTTCCTACAGTTACTCCAGGCTATATACTCACATCTGAAGATTTGGAACTAGGAATTACAGATGAGAGAGAACATGCTATGTTCTTTTCTGGGCCAAAGTTACCCTTCTCAAGAAGTATAATGAGAGAGGCCCTAGGCTCACGAGTTCCTCCTTTCCGGTGGAATAACTACTTTTACAAAGTTGTGGTGCCTGAGTTCAAAGTCCACCGAGCTGCATGCCCAGTCCTAGATCGAGTGATACTTAACAAGATTGGCAGCGCTGGGCTTCCAACTATAGCCCCTTGTGTGCAGTGAGAGTCCCACCCCTCCGAGGCCTCCCACCGGCTGCCTGTCTACACTTCATCACCCGAACACACACCCACTCTGCACTCTGGTCTGACAGTGTGATTTGTACCCAGGTGTCCAGGAGGCTGTGGTGAGCTGCCTGAACAAACAGACCCGGGAGCTTGCTGATGAGAAGCTGTGCGTGACCAGTCAACGGCCCCCACAGCTCCTGAAATCCTGCAATTTGGACCCCTGCCCGGCAAGGTAAGGGATGTGTTGCCGCCCCTGCCAACCGTGAGCGTATGTTGAACTGGGTGCATCTCTCTATGGGCGACAAAGGAACACTTATTGTTACCCAGTGTTTTGAAAACCAATTAGTGTCAGTTCAAACTTCTAGTCAAATCCACTTAAATTTAATTGAAAGCAGGGCCCTGGAATTTTAGCCCAATCAGTGGTCATATAGTCCAGAGGCTCCATACCCAAAGCAAATTTATGGCATGGCTGTTATGTGCATGCAGTATTCTGCTGCTTTCCCCTGGAGTGAAAATGAACTGGCACAGACTTCATGATCTAGGCTGCCTCTTAGCCTGTGTCCTGAGTCCTCACACCACAGTAATAAGCTGACTTTCAAATTACAGAGTGTAAGGTACTAAAGCATCTGGGTGGTATGACAGACCCACTGTGAAATCTGCGTGCACACAGCGTGCAGATTCGCTCTAGTATGCGCTGGGGCGTGTATGTATCATTCCATATGCGTAAAATCAATTAGAGCATTTCATTGTTCAGCCTTGCCTGCGTCTCATTATCGCCCAACCTTGAGTCTTCACTAATCAATCCAATCACTGCTTTGCTCCACACAATTTTATGGTGTCTCAAGAAATTCGTCTTTTTTTTTTTTTTTTTTTTTTTTTTTTTTTTTGGAGCAAACCCCCTGTACAATTCTGGTTTGGAAGGGATATATTTGAGGCGTTAAAGCCAGACTTGCAAATCTACAGCTGCTTTAAGGAATGTCACTGGATAAGGTCATGTCCTAGATACGAAAGGAATGTTGCTTCTGAATATTTCTCATTCCTATGCAAAACCCATCATATAGGAGTCACTGTATTGTTGTCAGGTGCTAACAGGAGTTTGCTGGTAAAGCCCGTGAGCTGATTATCTTCTTTCTCAGCCAGCTCCAGGAGTCTCCTTTCTTTGGGACTTAAAAGAGACAGATTCAGGCCTTCTCCAGTCACATGACACAGCTCCTTGGTGACTTTCTGGTCACCAAAGTTGTTCCATATAGTGATCTGAATGGCAAGACTGGGCTTTTGCCTTCAAATATAGAGGCAGACATGGTCCCCAGCACCACATCCTCCAAGGCAGCAGCCAGCCACCTGCCTGAAGCAGCTCCACTCTTCAGAACAAAGCAAGGAAAACTAGAGAGTCAAGGGCTGGACAAAAAGAACCAGACAAGAGAGAAGCTAGATCCAGCTTGTGAAACTCCACACAAGGCTACATCAGAGCTGCTATAGGCATGTGTGTCTGCCACAACTAGTCCCTTGTCTGCCTAAACCTCCCGGCTGTTCAGGTGTGTAACCCTATGGCTTTGCTTGGTTAAAAAAGTATACAAACTCCTCTACTTAGTGTCAGTCAGTGCCCCATATTAAAAGAAGGCTGCAAGACCCTTGGCTAGAAGGCCAACAGGCCAGGATCTCATCCTACCTGCCACCAAATAGTTGGATGGCCTTGAACAAGGTGAGTGCTCTTTCTGTCCCCCCAACTACAAAATGAAATTATTGGGCAAGGTACCATGAGGTTGCCGTGCCATGTGCGAATATCCCATGAGAATTCATTATTCCATCGGCAGACGTTTCTCACAGCTACCACCTCTTCTGTGTGTTGTTAACTGATGTCCTTTATGACCTGCTCATTTTAGCACATTCCAATGCTGTGGTGAGCCGAGGCGAAGCCAGGGAGTCAGTACTCAGACTGGGTGGAGATTGCTGACATGTGTAACCACCAAATCTATTCTTTCTCTGAACAGAAAATAATAATAATAATAATAATAATAATCTGCAAGAATGCTTTCTCATTTTCAAAGAGCTAACTAAGTTTAATTTAGATAATGTTGCTTTATCCCTGGTCCTTTTTAATTGATTCTCCTGCGGACTGTTTCAGGGTATCTTCAGAGCAATCCCCTCTTCCCAGTCTCCTTGGGGTAAGATGTATACACATGTGTGGTAAAGGTGTAGCTATGTACATTTCTCCCCTACATCCTCAGTCTAGTCCGGGGTTATTTACATCTTTAATTCACCAATCTTCATCAGGCTTCTGTGTTCCCTGCTTTTTGTTTGTTTGCTTGCTTGTTTTTATGTATCTTATGGTAGGTACAAACTTTCAACAATCCTTTATTCGTTTGGCCTTTGTTAAACTCCACATGCTTTTTGGGAAAAAAGAAAACCATATCATGTTTATACTACATACAGAAATGCTGCAAGCCTTCACTAGGGCCTGTGAGGAAACTTTGGGTTAAGATAAGCATCCCTCCTCTAGGAGTTGTCAGTTCGATGACGGTTGCTGAGGAAGCCACCAGTCTCTCATACGCTGGGACTAACGCTATAACATCCAGTGTCTTTCTGGAGCAGCTTCTGAGGCCCACGCTTGGTCCTTCTGGTGTCCTCTGTGTGACACTGGATTGGTGGCAGAAACACATGGCTGGCTCCCACCAGCATTCTCACATGCCACTTTCAGGCCTGGTCACTCACAGCAGGTTGGAAGGACACTCTGACTTTTCCAGCTGTCGTTTGTATGTCTGAGTGCATATGTGTGCATGTGTACATCCCTTACCTTGTTTAGAGAACTTTCAAATAAACAGTAGTTTCTAAGGAAAAGGCTAGATTTTTTTTTAAGTTCCTACTCTCAGTTTTATATCTTGATCCTTCTCTCTTGATGTCAATAATCTAGGAACCAAGAGGTGACCGTGTTTGAAATTAGCAAGGTTTAGTGCATGTATGAATGAGAGCCGGAAGGTCTCATTGCTATTCCTATCCTCTTTCTCGTCTGTCTCCCGTCTTCCAGGAGATGTTTAAAATGCCATTATTAGTCTCCTTTTCACAAACTCAAGGCTTTAATCATCAAGATGAAATGTATATATATATATGGTTATAGCACTTACATTACCACTTATTATACAGAATACTCCAAGTAAGGACAGACACAAGGGGACATGGACAGAGGGGACAGGGACAAAGAGGTTCGGTAGTGAGCAATAACCAGCAGAAAGTTTGGTACTGGGAGGGCAGGGATCAGATGGTGGAGGAAAACTATTCATTCCTTTGCAACCTTCCCTAAAGTTCGCCGTGAAGCATTGGATGCAGCCTTGTTTGTAGACCAGCAATGAGAACTTTCTTCAAAGTTGATAGGAAAGGAGTTACTGTCGTGGAGCAGGGAACTCCTTGTGCATATTGAAAACTAAGTAACTTAAGTCCCTGAGACTACACCAACTTCCCCAGTGTGTCATCAGTGGGCGATGCTGGCTCAGAGAGAACTGTTCAAAGGAGCCAAGAAATCAGTCTCCCATTCCCAGTTTGTTTGCCTTTTAAAAAATAGACTCTCCCTGGGTGTTCTGATTAGTTAAGTAGTTCATGAAGAAACCTGTTCTTTAAAACTCAAGGCAACACCAAGGAAGAGAAGGTAGAAAGATGAGAGGGTCCAAATGGCTACAGTGAGATAGTGTCTTCAACATGATAGAGATGCTGCAGTCATGAGCTCTGAACAGTATGACTGCCTGCTCATGACCCGCAGTGACCACACCAGCCAATGTGCCCTTGTGTGGGGAAGAAAGGTTCAGAAGGTCCTATCCCTGAATGGAGGACTATAGGGGATCAAGGGCTGTTGAGGGAGAGAGAATCAGTTGTCTCTAGGGATAAACTTCCTGATAGGTTCTCCAATTCTAAGCACATGTACATGCAGGCAATGCTAACCTGACTCAGTGGATTGTGTGTGTGTGTATACACGTGTACGTGCACGTGTGTATGTGTGCATGTGTGTGTGTGTGTGTGTGTGCACGCACGTGTGCACGTGTGGCAGTCTGACAGTAGTAATTATAGAAGAAGAAGCCATGAGTCAAGAGGAGGTACGGGGACATGGGAAGAATTGGACGGGGAAGGAAGGACAGAAATAATGTGATTACAGTATATTCAGCAATTAAATTTTTAAAACAAAAGATTTTTTAAGAACCATCACGAACGGCATTTATTGCTCAGAAAGCTCAGCTTTTCACCTAGCGCTGCTCTCTCATCCCCAGGACACTCAGAAAGACTCGCAAGTAGATCTAAGCCTCTCGGGTCACTTTCAGCAAACTTTTTAAAGGCTACGGATGTTTCCAGATCTTCATTTCATCTTTAAAATGGGATAACTTTTTAGAATGAGAGGTATAGTGAGTCACAACTACAATCTCAGTTCTTGAGTACTGGGGTAAGAGGATTGCCATGGACTTGGTGTGAGCCTAGGCTATGCATGGTCAGTTCCAAGCCAACATAGGCTATGTGGTGAGACTCTGTCAATAATAACAACAGCAGTAACAATAATTGGATCTGTGCTGAGATGTAACTCAGTATTTGGGTACTTGACTAACATTCATAAAACCCTGGGGTCAATGCCCTACCTCCCCATACAAACGCACACACATATACACATACACACACACAGACACACACACACACACACACACACACACACACAGACATCTTCTTGCCAGGTATGAGAGCACATAGCTAAAATTCCAGAGCTCAGAAATAGAATCAGGAGGGTCATGAGTTCCAGGCCCACCTAAGGTACCTGAGACTCAAAAATTAATAATGAAGAAAAATAAAACAGAATCACAATAGTCACTCAGAAAAACGCATTGTTGTCTTTAGTTTTGCTGAGAAATGATAGTTGTAATTTAAATGAAAGCATGATTTTTTTTAAAAATTCAAGACAAATTAGATTAGATCTCAGCTGTCTTAATAAACAGTGACTATCTCCCTGGCTTATAATAGCAGTGACATGAGCAGCTCATGCAAGCCAGAAGTCACCACTTCTAAAAAAAAAAAAAAAAGTATGACTGTTATTAATTATAAGCATTTGATAGCTTGGCCAGCGTGTGTTGAAAAGATTTGGTAAATGTATGTGGAGGAGGGGAGCAGAGTCAGCAATGAAAGCCAGATGACTGAAAATGAAGGAAATTCCAGGCAATTTCTGCAGCTTTGTTCTAACATACTTCTTCAACTAAACTTTTATTT